TGTACTGTCAACTATGACTCATAACGTCCCTACACATAATAGCTCTGAACTCTGCTCTATCCTCATCCAATCTAACTATCTCTGACATACCTACCCTCATTACCCAGTTACTGTGTCAATCCATCTAATCCAGGATCTTCCTCTCCTGCACTGTCCCTCCACCCTTCTCAGCATGATATCCTTCTCCAAAGACTGCTCCCTCCTGGCTACATGCCCAAAGTATGTGAGATAGAGCTTCAACATCCTTGCTTCCAAGGGGCAGCTTGGTTTTACCCTTTCTAGGATAGACCTGTTATTTCTCTTGGCAGTTCATGGTATGTTCAATATTTTTTTCCGGCACCACAATTCAAAGACAGCGATTCTTCTTCTGTCATCCTTAGTCATTGTCCAGCTCTGATGCACAGCAAGTAATTGCTAAGACCATGGCCTAGACCAAGTGCACCTTAGTCTCTAGACTGACATAATTGCTCTTCAGCACTCTGGAGAGGTCCCTGACAGCAAATTTTCTTAATGCAGCCTGTCTGTTAATTTCCGGGCTGCTGGTACCAAAAGTATTGATTGTGGACCCAAGCAAGCTGAAATTGTTAACAATCTCAATCTCTTCTCCATCTATTATGATGCTGTCACTTGGCCCAGTGGTGAGAATCTTCATTTTCTTGATGTTGAGCTTCAATCTGTGTTGCAAACTACAGACCTTGACCCTCTGCAGCAAATGCTTCAGGACCTCCTCAGTTTCAGCAAGTAATCATCTGCATAACTCGGGTTGTTGATGAGTCTCCCTCCAATTCAAATGCCACATTCCTCCTCATAAAGTCCAACCCCTCAAATGATATTTGCTGCATACAGATTGAAAAGATATGGAGATGGGACACATCTTTGATGGCTTAGTGGTTAAGAATTTATTGTGCTGCCAGTTCAAAGAGACACAGTCAACTCTACCAGCTGCTCTATACAAGAAAGATGTGATTTTCTCCTCCCATGTGATTTACTGCCTTTGAAAACTCAAGGATCAGCTATAAGTTGGTTCTGACTCAACAGTACACAACAACAAAGCATTAAATATTTTCAGGTGTGATGAGTTCTCTGAACTGTTCATGATGTCAGTGGCACACATCACAATCACTCTTGTTGCGTGTTATGTTTCCTTCACTATAAATGGGGTAAAGTAGAGATTGTGTTGGCATCTGAATCCAGCTCTCATAGAAGAAAATGTTAAAGAAGAATGAATCAGCTAATTCCGTAGCAATACTAACTAATTATAAGGTAGACCTTCTAACATTTGTTTCCTTTCTCCTACAAACCCATGCTACTTAGATGGCAATTTGGGTTCTGACTTTTTATGCCCACCATGGTATCTGAAAAAAATCTGAATAGGCGGTGGTTTTGATCCCACAGTTGGTTTGAACCCAGAGAATGTGCCAGTAGACCACCCTGGAGGCCACGTGTAGCAACACGCTGTTTAATAAGCACCTACAGTGTAGGCAAACTGAGGCTAGAAATGGTATCAGTACTTTGAGGGAGGTCTGGTGGCCTAGTGGTAACAAGTTGTGCTGCAAACTTGAAGCACGTAGTTTGAATCTACCAGCTGCTCTATGGGAGAAAGATGGACAATTTCCTGCCCAGTGATTAAATGCCTTTGAAAACTCTGCTGCAGAGTCAGCTATGGGTTAGTCTGACTCAATGGTATATCACAACAACTGTGATAGGGCAGGACAGGAGTTTTTATAATCACTAGTTAGCCAGAAATGTCACTTGATTCAGTGACTACATGTTACTTAGGTCCACACTCTTCCAGCCTTAGGACCTGTGTATCTTCTGGCCAGTTCTCTTCTTTCCTCTGTTATTTGTTGGGACATGCTGCTAACTCAAGTGGTCCTGTGCCTCAGAACTGGGATTTCAGAGAGGAGGGATGATTCATTCCCCTTCTGGCTTTTAGGCCTAAGAAAAAGCTTACTGGCAGAATTTTGTTTTTGAGGGAAAGAACCAGAGACCCTTCCTCCCAAATATCTGAACTTTCCTGATTTCATCCAAAAGGGAATCTTAAGGGCAGACCCAATGTGTCGTCCCCACCCATCCCAGGTCAGGCCACCCGTGGGGTAGGCACTGGGCATCTCTGAGGCCACCAGTCTCACAGACTGTGGTTTTGCTGCATACAATGTGCACAGCCATTTGCCAAGAAAACGAAAACCAAATGCGTTGCCTTCCAGCCCAGTTCAGAGAGACCCTCCATCGGGTTATGCTAACACATGAGACTTTACACCAAGAGCCCCATCAAAAACCACCAGTTAACTCCCCCCTCCCCCCAATTTGGAGCTGCTTTTTAGGGGCAATAGCTTGATGCCTTCAGTAGGTCAGAGAATAAAATGAGAGAAAAGAGAAGTAATGAGATGAGTAGAAAAGTGAGCATAGATTCATTCTTTTCAGACAAAACCTGCTTTAATTTAACCTTTTTTCTGTCTTGAAAGAATAAGTTCAGAGAAGCTCCTTTTGTCAACAGTAGCTTCAATTTTGAGACAGAAAAAAAAAGTTAAATTGGACAAATAGCATTTTTTTTCTTCCAAATGCATTAAGTGTAAATATGTTGTTTGTTTTAGAAAGAAAAGTAAACCAAAGTAAATGTATTTAAATAAGTTCCTCCATACAAGCCAAAACACAAGCTCCCTTACAGTAGACAGGCTTTGTCTTAACCTTTCCTTTTTTTCTTTTTTACCTTTTCTTTTTAAGGTTTTCATATAACCCTTGTTGTAGATTGTAAAATAATCTAGCAGATTGATGGAACTAGCTGCACCACTCGTTTGGGTTTTGTTTCTTTTTTTTGAAAAACCTAACATAATCATTTATCCTTTGGAAAATCCAAAATTATCCAAATTTGAACTAATTTGTTTTCATCAGTGTTGAATGACTCAAGGAAGTGAAGACAAGCTCCTTTTGCTTGTCATTTTATTTCTAGATTTTTTTTTCTCCCAGCAGAGAGTTGCTTCGGAGAGCGACATGCATTTCCACGCCATTTAACTTCAGAGGTAATTTCAGTAGGAATGAGGTTAGGTGTACGCTGGACACGCCCTGATCTAAGGGAACTTGAGCTAAATTTCAGTTCAGGGTAAAGCCTGCTCTCAACACTGGAGAAAATCTACCACACTAATCCCATGGGCTCAGAGCACAGCGCTGCACCGCAGGAACACAGTGCTCAGGAAGTGTGAGAAGAATGCTTTGAAAGAAACTTTAAAAACAAAATGTTCAGCAAATACCAGGCCCGTATGTGAAATCATCCAGCACTTAAAGAAGGATGTAAATTATTATGCTTTTGGGGGGGGGGAAGGGGGCTAATTAAAACAAATCAGTGCATGAAAGGATGAAAAAAAGTATAGAGTAACTTTTCTGCTCCTTTGTTAATGTGAGAGGCCACTTTACAAAATAGTAGGATTATTTTATTATTTCATTTCACACTGGCATATAAGAGATAAAGAGGAAAACTCTATTCCAAGAAAATGCTCTGGTAGATTTGCTAAAGATGTTATCATGTACTATATTTCAAATAAAAATCTTATTACTGAGATTTATCATAGCTTTGGTTATTAAACTTTGCTAATTTAAAATTTTTTTGTTTGCCCCTTTTGAACATAATGATCTTTCAGGGAAAATTTCCAATTTTTGCGTACTTTTGTGTGTATCTTTTCTAAGCTCCTAAGTAGCATTAACATATTCTAAACATGTAACTGTGCTTATATTAGTAATAAATATTCCATGTGCTTTTCTTTTTCTTTGTTAATGAAATATCTGGAACTGCTTTATAATTGTTGAGCCTAGTGGGTGAGAGTAAAGCCAACTGCACTCTTCTACAAGAATAGTTGGAGGGAATTCTTTTAACAGCATTCGAAAGAAAGGATTCTACATACTACTTTTCCAGAATGCACTTCTTAGTCTTGAGAAACCCTAAAACAGTCATCAAAAACAGCAAATATTAACGAGTACCTTCACTGTCTAGAAGGAGAAAAGTAGGGAGGTAAGGCAATTATCTTAACAGTGCAGTAGAATAAACTATTCTAGAAGTAGAGATGGCCACTGCTGGGGCAACAGGGAGGGGAAAGAAAGAATATACAAGAAGAGAAGTCCCTTCTCTCCTGTGGGTATTGAAGGCTTTGGAGAAATGTCACCCTATTTTGGCAGAACACACGGGTTAAATGGTCTCCATCCTAGGAGAGTCATAGTACTTTGGTTTTCATTTTCATGCGCTGAAGACCAAACTTTTTTTACACGAAGGGACTTGTAAGGGTAGCCTATTGATTTAATCCTGTGTAGTTTATTAAAATACAATGTTGTTTCAAAGCAAAAAGGGAAATAGGCATACCATATTTCACATAGGGAACTCTGGTGGCCTAGGGGGAAGAAGCTGTGCTGCAATCCCAAAGTCACATGGTTTGAATCCACCAGCTGCTGCACTGGAAAAGGACGAGCAGTCTCCAACCCTGAAAACCCACTGGAGGGTCAGCTATGGGTTGGTTCTGACTCGACAGCAAAATGACAATATATTTCACAAGTAGCATACCTGCGTAAATAGTGCACCCATACACATGAAGCTAATGTGTGAAGGAATTTTGTGTTTTATAAGAACGCATGATATAGACATTATTCCTATAAAAATGTAGTATAAATCTATTTCCTAAATCAGAAGTAAGGTCCACAGTACAATCAAATTCCAACATTTGGTATCATCATAGAGCAAGTTCTTAAAGATAGGACCTTATGTAATTTTGAAGTCTAGTCCTTTGATGGGAAAATGAAAATTAAACCAGCTGGCGTCAGTTTGCAAGCAAGGGTTAGAATCCCCTTCTTCTAACCCAAATCCATTCCTCCTTTCACCCCTTTCTGGCCTTGCTAAACTTGCTCCCATGAAAGTGATTGACATCGTTTTCCCAGCGCCTCCCCAGCCATGCCCAGTGCTGGGTCCCCAGAGGTGTGGTGTTCCTGATCTGATGAATAACCAGATGTCCATCCTGCAGGTGCAAAGTTCCCCATTAAGTGGACAGCCCCTGAAGCGGCTCTCTATGGGAGGTTCACAATCAAGTCTGACGTGTGGTCTTTTGGAATCTTACTCACAGAGCTGGTCACCAAAGGAAGAGTGCCATACCCAGGTAAGTGAGGGACCTGCAGAAGCAGGCCTCTGATTGGATGCTCTTCTGCCTCTGTTTAGTGAACTCTCACTTAGCTGGCCCATCTTAAGTTTTCCATAGAGCAGGGGTGTGAAGAAAGTGAGCAGATAACTGAGCCAGAGAAAAACAGAGCTGTATGCCATCATGGTAGACAAGCAGCCACAATGAATTGTGTGCCAGGTTTAATGTAATTAGTAGGCTGGTATGGGTACTTCAGTGCCCCACCCCCAGTTGATGGAATCTCCCCTCTCTCAGTAGAAGTGTGTGTCTGTGACTCCCAGTGTGGCAATGTCACTGGCAGAACCTTTGCCCAAGTAGAGTTTGCAGACATGTCTGGGAAAGAGAAGGGACAAAGCCCCCACTGCTTTTTGATTACACTATAGCACTGACCCATGGAGTGAACCTGGCAGAAAGATGCAAAGACCTGTTCTCTCTGCAGGCCCCACTCCAGATGGCCAGAGATAGAGCAGAGGCCCATATGGAAAACACAATTTTATAGGCCATTCACTGCCTGTTTCTGAACAGCCAAAATGGTGATATACAAAAGCAGGTATAATGTAACAAAACCGGAGAGTCCTGTGTTTCACATTTTCCTGGGTGATCAGATTCATGCTCTGCAAAGAAACCACAGGTTAGGTTAGCCAGGCTTAACTTCATTAATTTAGACAGATGATGATGTACAGGACACCCATGCCATTTCACCTCCACGCTTTGGTGGTTATAACACAGGGACGGTCTGCTTTTTGAAATGTTAAGGACATATTTTTCAGTTATTGCTGAGTGAAGAAAGAACATAGCTCCCCCTCATTCCCTGCCTAAGAACAGAGCTTTAGGGGGAGAAAAACAGACCGATGGAAACGATAGTGAAGATTAATGAGGAATTTCGGTCTCTTGCAAATCCTGGGCTTGTAATAGTATCTTTGCAGTCAGAGGAGCCAGTGAGGGCAGATGTGTTTGTAATCCCTTTGTTCATTTTGTGTGTGATCGTTTCTGGTCATCTTCAGAGAACACAAAGACGTGCCCATAAAGAGGATCGCTTTTCAGTTGGTATGGCCGAGAGACTCCTAGGAGAGCCAGGTTGGCACGGAGGCAAATTGACAAATCCCCCGTCTCTGAAGTGCTCACACCAGGCGTTTAGAGATGGGAGTCTCAGTCAGTTTTATTGATGCTGCAGTGCCTTCTGCTCCCAGCATGCACAAGTGGGCAGACTCTCCGGGAGTCGCCAACCAGCGCAGAAGAAAGGGCTGCCCTGGAGGAGGCGGAGGGGGCGGGAGGCAGAGCATGGGGGGTTTTGAATTGCTTCTCCAGGGGGAAAATGTGTGGGTCTCTGGATTTTGAAGATGCAAAGGCACCTTTTTTTTGTCTGCATTCTGAACTAATTTCTTCCTGAGCCCCCCAGGTTTATAGCCACCTGGTGTGTTAAATGCAATTGGGGGGAAAAGGTTAATGTTGTTTTGCATTTCTGTGAAACCTTCCCTTCCTGTAATGCAAAGCTGCTTTTTGTTTCTTGGGGTCACACACAGAAGCTGAGACAAAGGGGTGGGGGTGGGGGCCTCCCTGAAGCAGGGAGGGAGGGTGTGTGTGTGTATATGTGTGTGTATGTGTGTGTGGGGGGGAGTCTTTTAGTCTTTTTGTCAGGTTTGGTTTTAGCATAAGAATGGAAGGCTAGCTGCATGAGTGGCCCCTTTGCCAGGTGCTGTGCTCCACCTGCAAGTGTAAGGCATTCAGACCTGTGACAGCATTGATTAGAACCTGCCATGGGTTCGGGGTTGCTTTAGGGGCTTGAGATAGAACAGTGAGCAAGTAAGTGTAAATCTCATTCCTGTACTCATAGAATTTCTAGTGAAGCAGATAAAATATGCATCGAAGTCAGGAAGAAATCATGCTATTTTGTTGTTTATTATTAGACAGAATCATCCTAAGGGAACTGGATTATTTGACTTTGCCCTCCTGAGGGCCCCAAGGCTTAATTCTGATAGTGAAGCCAGGGATACTGAGTTCAGGCATCTGCAGACAACAGACACTGGTAGCGTCTTTCCACTCAAAAACCTGTGAGGATGGTGAAAATCAGATTCTGATGCATAGCCACCTGGCTATGTTGGAGATCACAGGGGTTTTTAATCACTATTTCCTCTGAGGCACTCCGGGTGCACTCAGCTCTCTGTCCTTTCTCTTAGTAGCTTATCACGTTACCCATTTCACTGGGAGCATGGTAGCAGAATGTGTGCAGTGAGAGCTAAATCAGATTCATTGTACTTCGTTGCATGCTATGAGCCACTGCTCCCCTGCAGTGGTTGTGATAACCACCTCCAGTTTTGTAGAGGGGGCTGTACAGAGAAGACAGATAAACCAGACCTGCAAGGTGAGTTGAGTTTCTCCAGGCAAAGGGAGACCAAGGGAAGGGTGGCCTGTGGGGAGGTTGAGAGACATGCAAGGGCACTACCAATTCAAGGAGCCTCAGAAGAATGAGCTTGAGCTTTCAGAAGGGGTCACAGAGCTGAAGTGTCTGTAGAGGAGGCTGGACATGTGAGTTAGAGCACATCGTGAGGACACTGGTGTGTGTGGCCACATAGAGTCTGGAGCCAGTTGGTTGGTGGTGACCAGGGTGCCTTGTCAACAGACAAGTGACATGAGTTGCTCTTTATCTTAAGAAAATTGTTTCCAGGCCCGACACTACCTAGCCATGGGTGCTTGTTTTTGTTTTTAAACTTAACTCTAATCATGTTTAATTGGCCTTCTGTATCTGACAGTAAGCACTTCTTGAGGGAGAAGATTTTACAGAGGGATTCTAATTATAGGATTATTACCTTAATGAAGGATAACCATTCCTAAGGAACAAACAGTTTCATTAAGATTCAGCCCGACCCTGCAGGGAAGGGAAGGACTTTCCCCTTCACGTTCCCACCGTTGTTAGTGACCAGGCTCACACACACTCACTGGGACAGGAGGCTTCTCCTTGGCAATCCTAAAGTTGAGTTTCTGTGCCTGTTGGTCCCACCTCAGGTCCGACTCCAGATCCCTCTATGTTGTAACTTCCATTTCGAGTAATGTTTCCTTTTTCAAGAACAATAGGTGGCAGTACATTTTCTGAATTCTTTTGTGCCTGAGAATGGCCTTCACACATAAGACAGCTGCTTTGACCTGTAGGTAAGGTTGGAAATTAGCAAAGGTGCAGGTAACTTGTAAATAAATGAGTCCTACAGAGATTGTGCAGGCATTTTTGCTCATTAAAAAGGATGGTCCAAAGGCAAGAATCAAAGAAAGAACTTAAGAAGGAAAGAAATAAAAAATTAGATATGGCCAGAATAAAGAACAGAAGGGATAAAATACTGCTATCTGGTGCTAGTCTGTCAACTGTGACTCATAGCGACTCAGTGAGCAACAGAACTGACCATTGCAGCTCAGTGAACAACAGAACTGACCCTTGCCCTATCCTGCGCTATCCATTGAGAATCTTCTTCTCTTTTGCTGACCACCCACTTTCTCCACATGGTGTCATTTTCCAAGGACTGGCTCCTCTGGTAATATACCCAAGGTATGGCAAACGAAGTTTTCTCTTCTTTGCCTCTAAGGAGCACTCTAGTTGTCCCCCCCCCCTTTGGCCATCAGTGTTATATGTTCATTGCTTTCCCCTGACACCGCAGTTCAAAAGCATTCCTTTTTCTTTAGTGTTCCTTTTTCATTGTCTAACTTTCATATGCATAAAAAGCAATTGAAAATACCATGGCTTGAGGCAGTGTACCTTTGTCATTAAACTGCCAGCCTTGCTCCTTCGCCCTTTAAAGAAGTCCTTGACAATAGGTTTTTCCAGTGCAGCACATCTTTTGCTCTTAACTGTGTTTTCTTGATGTTGAGGTGTAGTCCATTCTTCAATAATTGCTTCAGGTTTTCTTCAAACAAAGTTCTGTCACCTGCGTGACACAGGTTGCTGATGAGCCTTCTTCCAATCCTGAAAAGGACACAATAAAAGTTTGGGTTGGCTCATTAGTTAGGCAGTTTTGTGAGAGGAATAGAAGGAGAATCTAAAATTGAATGAAAACCTTGAAACCAAAGAATTAATCTGAAATGTGGTGGGCAAGATTAATAAGGAGATAGTGGAGAGTCCACTTAATGAGAAAGGAGGTTGCTTCACAGATGTGTAGCAAAGATGGGACACAACATCAAAGATGAGATACATTTTATAAAGTTCCTAGTACAACCTGGAGAATTTTGGGTTTTTTATGCCACAGTTCAACTCCCTTCTTCTCAATATTAGGACTGATTTTCTATGAAAAGGTTGATGCAAGTGAGGGGAAGAAATGCCAAAGAAAGTGCGGTTTTCTAGGATTGAGGCATAGACTCAAGATTTTACACTTAAATATGTCGATTCAGCTTTAAAATCTCTCTCAAATCCTCCTCTTCTCTGTCTCCACTGCCACTACCATGTGTTACACCATCGTCTGCCCGTGCTGTGGTCCCCTCAGTGGGGCTTCCCAATCTCTTCTTAGACACCATGACCAAATCAAAGTGATTGTCCAGACAGCACAAGCCTGCTCTTCTATTAAAAAACACCCATAGCTTCTCTTTCTCTTCAGAATAAACTCCAGGAGCCTCAGTTTTATGTTGTTATTGTTGCGTACCATCGAATCAGAACTGACCCATAGCTGACCTTCCAGTGGATTTTCAGAGGCAGTTAATCACACGGGAGGAGATTGACCATCCTCTACAGCACCTGGTGGATTCTAAACTGCATGCCTTTGGGATTGCAGCACAGCTTTTTACCTCTAGGCCGTCAGAGTTCTGATTTAAAAAGCAAGGTTTTGGATAGTCCTTCATAAATATTTTTCTTCGATCTCTCCACAAATATTTCCTGTGCACCTGCTCCATGCTATGTAACAGATCCAATCCAAAAATACAGCTGTGAACAAATGGGGGTGGGGGGGAGAGGGGAACAAACACAGACCCTACTCTGCCTAGAACTTTCATTCTCCTTGGAGGAGGCA